TGGAGTACGACTACCATCACCAGGAGCTCGACGCACAGAAGCTGATGGACATTCATCGGATGCCGACAGCTCCGGATCCGAAGGGCTACGCGACTGGAGCAAGGCCGCGGAGGAGGAAGTTCGCAGAGAAGCCTTTGCCCGCAGAGCACAATATCCTGAAGGACAACGCGGCAACAAGGCTCAGCGCCAAGCTCAACAAGAGGACGCACCTCGCGCACTTCAACGTGACAGGCTCGACCAGACAGACGACCGCAGCAAAGCCATCAAGCGCAAGGAGTTCTTGGAGAGTCTCAAGGACGACCTACCCAAGTGTTTCAAGAGGCCAAAAGACACACTCAGGACCGACCTCTACTTGGACAACTACTTTGAGGTCAGCGACGACGATTTGCACTCGACCATTCGACTCCGAGAGGTTATGCTCACCGGGAAGGCCGCTGCTAAGGAGATCAAGTACGACAAGCTCTCCGCCAAGGACAAGAAGCTCATGGACACGGCCATGAAGGTCGAGTGGTCCAAGTGGACCGAGTTCGGGGCCTACAAGAAGCTGCCGCCCAAGGAGCTGAAGGAGATCCTCCAGCGACACCCTGGAATACGACCAGTCGGCGCCCGCTGGGTGCTCACGCAGAAGGCCGCCAACCTCATGAAGGCCCGCCTCGTCGTCCAGGGCTGTCAAGAGGACAAGTCCCAGATCCGCACGGACGCGCCGACCGGGTCAAGGGACGCGCTTTACCTCGCGCCTGCTGCCGCCGCCCAGCTTGGCTGGGACCTCACATCGTACGACGCGATGACGGCCTACCTGCAGTCGGGCAACATCGAGAGGCTGCTATTGCTACGCGTGCCAGCCAAGAACCCGCCGCCAGGCACACTGCCCGGCGAGATCGCGATGGCGACTGGCGCCATCTATGGCACCCGAGATGCAGGACGCCAGCGGTGCCTCTACGCCCAGAAGGTGTTCCAGGAGCACGGCCTCATCGAGAGCAAGCTCGAGAAGGGCCTTTACTACTTCTACGACGACAAAGGGCTCGCCGCCATGATCCACTCCCACGTGGACGACTTTCTCATCGCCCAGCGCGGAAACTCTAGCGAGTGGAAGCGAGTCATTGGCTCCTTGCAGAAGAAGCTGCGCCTCAAGAAGGTAGAGGGTATCATCAAGTACTGCGGCCGGACCATCAACAAGACCAACGAGGAGTTCCGCATTACCCAGGCGACGGCCGCCGCCCAGGTGGATTTCATCGAACTCAACGCCCAACGCGGACGATCACCAGAAGATCGGCTTACCACCTCGGAGGTCTCGGGATATCGCCACGCACTCGGTCAACTGCTTTGGCTCGCAGTACAGACGCGAGTGGACATCGCCTGCCCGGTGAGCCTTGCAGCTCGCCGCACCGACGCCGCCACCGTGGCCGACGCCAAGACGCTGAACAAGACCGTCGCTTACGTGCGCGGGTCCGCCGATTTCGCCATCGTCATCAAGCGCAACATCATCGACCTGCGCACCTGCACCATTATCTGCTTCAGCGACGCGGCCTTCGCCAACGTGGACGGGGTGGAGAGCCAGTGGGGCATGGCGATTGGGCTAACTTACCAGCCGCGGGACGTCGTGGCTGGACGATATGATTTGTGCCTGCCCGTGGCCTGGCATTCGGGCACGGTCAAGCGATCCGTGAAGTCGGCGCTGGCCGCCGAGGGCTACGCCACCCTGGAGGGCGCCGAGTCCAGTACATGGTTCGGCCAGCTACTCACGGAGGCCTACAACCCGAAGAAGACGCTCAAGCAGATCGACGACCTCAGCACCAAACGATCTGGGGAGATCAACAGCGACAGCAACGGCCTGGTTACGCACATCAAGTCTGACGTGGGCCAATCCACCGACAAGCGGTTCCGCATCGTCGCATCGATGATCAAGGAGACGGTGCACCCCAACAGCCAGCTGAAGCTCTCGTGGATACCTACGTGGAGTATGGTCGCCGACGCGCTCACCAAGATCATGGAGACCGGAGTGCTCCTCGCTTTCTTCGGGGCCAAGAGGCACAACTTTGGCACTAGGCAACCGCATGCCGCCATGCTTGCCTCAGTGCTGATGACATGTCTCGGATGCGTGAAGGCACAGCATATTGGGTCTGCTACATGACATTCATCGCGATGCTCAGTGGAATCATGATTGGGTTTACATTTTTCGCAGCGCTGTGGTTTGTGGTGCGAAGAGAGATATTTGGGTCAGGCGACCCCAATCCCATTCAGATCGGGACCATCAACAACACCAGCAATGGGTCCAAGGCTGACCACACCGGGCACGCGGACATCCCCTTGCCCGGAGTATATCCAGGATGGGATGGACGATACCTTGGACGCCGCAACAACGCACCGCCTACCATTCCCGAAGACGCCGACGGAGATGTCCACGTGGAGCCGCCGACGATTGCCGCTGCAGCCCAGAGTTCATCATCGGCAAGCGGATCGGCAGCGCCAGCCGCGCCGCCATCATCACCGGACAGCTTCGTGCAGGGAGCGAGCTCTGCGCCATCATCGCCGATGACGGTTCACAGTTCTTCGTCAGCCAGCGTGGTTTCATGGAACGGATCAACGCCAACGGTTTCGCCATCGGAGATGAACGCATGCGTGATCGCCGAGCACAACATACGCGTGGGACACAACCCACATAGTGTCTACGTGACCTGCAGGACGTGCCGGAAGCACGCGTCATGGCTTCGCCGGAATCACATGACCCACGAGCCAGATTTTTCGAAGATGCACAACAGTCTGCGCTGGGACTTGCAAAACAGATGGAGGCAGCTTCAAGGGTTGCCCGGCAACGCGAAAGTTCAGAAGAAGATTTCGTGATGCAAGCCGCCGCTCTGTGCCGCCGCTCTGCTCCGTTTTGCTAGCTTGTTTTTTTTACACCTGGCGCCACATCGTGTGGCAGACTACGTTAGTCCGCATTGTCTTGCTAGCTTGTTTTCTTTACACCTGGCGCCACATCGTGTGGCAGACTACGTTAGTCCGCATTGTCTTGATTGTGGAGCTGCCGCGCTCGGCACCCACAGCCCGCTCGAAGCTTCATTCAGTGTGCGCAGTTTTTTTTCTCCCAATGTGGTGACGACCACACTATTAAGACCTTATCTTGATAAGATAGTGTTTTTGAGTCTTGTCGCATCGCGATGGACTCGCGCTGCTGCTCGCCTGGGAATTTATTTGTTTCTTGCCGGTGCGTGTAGCAGCACCCGTTAAATGCCCAGAGGCAGCCGGATAGCATGCCGACAAGGCCGTTTGCCTGTGTTTGTTCTGGTGGAGATGCTGCGCCTAGCATCCACCGCGGTGTGTGTCAGCGCTCGCTCTATCAGCGAAGCGCCCTGACCAATGTAGTGAGCTGCGATCGGTGATCGTCGCTCGACGGCGCCGCGAGCGCCGATCAGGAGGAGTGTGATTCCCGCTCACTCCCCGAGCCTTTCCTGCCCCTGCTCTTGCTGCTCTCACCCTTTTTCCCGCTGCCTGTTTTGGTTCGGAACTTATACTAGGGCCCTTGGCCTTAGAGCCACGCAGTTTGATTGCCGCGCGATCATTCGACAAAACGATATCAGCGATATCCGACCCTGCGGGTCTTCCATATCACAGTTACAGTCGGCGCCGTCCCATCCAAACGCTGGGCCGCCAGCTGCTTTTCCAGGTGGTACAGCTCCTGCTCCTGCTTCATTTTCTCCTGCTTGTTCTGCTTCTTCTGGAGGCGCTTGAGCCTCTTCTTCTCCTTGGCCTTCTCCATCCCGTCGACCCCTATGTAGAAGAACTCCGCTATGCCTTGGGCGGAGGCGGTGGCAGCGGCAGGAAGACTACCCTCGGGGATGTCCACGTCCGGCTTGGAGGAGGCAGCGGAGGAGGTGTGCTCGGAAACCCCCGCATCGCAAGCCCAGGAGCGGCGAGCACCTTCTGGGCCACATGCGTGTACGGGTCCGTCACGCTGAACACTCCTGGCGGCGGAGGAGTAGGAGGCCTCCTCTGCGAGCTGGTCGTGCACGTCGCGTGAGCACGCAGAACTGGCAGGTCCCGCAATCCTTTCTTGCCCTTCTTCTTCTTCTTCTTATTCTTGAAGCCGAAGTCCTTCTCCCTGCGAGGCCTCACCCTGCATGGAGGCGGTGGCAACTTGCCGTTCTCCTTCTTCTTCTTGAAGTGGAAGTCCGTGTACTTGTCCTTGCTCTTGAATTTGTGCCTCTTCCTGCGCGGCCCGCACGGCCAAGCAGGGGTAACCGTAGAACATGGGGGCGGCAGCGGCAGGACCACCAGCTTGTCCAACGTGGACGCCTCCCCACACACCTTGGGACCAGGTGGAGGAATAGGCGGGCGCGGTATCTTGCGAATGCCAACGGACGTCCGCACGAGGTCCGACACCCGTCCCCTCAAGTACCCAATTGGTGTGCTCTCCACTGATGACGAAGATGTCGCCATCGAAAGGACGTAAGCGTTCAAGAAGCTCGCCAGACACTAAGTTCTCTGAGATGAATATGCGCATACATGCCGCGGGACGTAGGGCAAGAAAGGCGTGGCCACAAGCTCGGTCTTGACCGTCGTCAGTATCGACGGCCCTCAAGCCGCACAGAACATCTGGTCCAGCGCCGAGCCGTCGCGCGCGAGCCGAGGCGCCGCAGGTCGGGGCCTGCTGCTCGAGCCGACGAGGCTTGAGAGGGGGAGGAGGAGGAGGAGGAGGAGGAGGGAGGAGGGAGGAGGGAGGAGGGCGGAGGGCGGAGGGAGGAGGGAGGAGGGAGGAGGAGGGAGGAGGAGGGAGGAGGAGGAGGGAGGGGGGAGGAGGGAGGAGGAGGAGGAGGAGGAGGAGGAGGAGGAGGAGGAGGAGGAGGAGGAGGAGAGGGAGGCTAGAAGCTTTCAAGATCAGCCGCTAGTGGCGTGGGCTCCAAACTGCACAGTGGGGAGATCGACCTCTCCTGGGGTGCACTCTGGGCCAGAACTTCGGGGATAGACTAGCGGCGGTGTCGGTGTCTCTTCCCCCTCTGAGCCTCCAGCGCCGCCGCGCCCTCGCGGACGGGCTGGCTCAGGGCCAGCTCGCGGAGCCGCTGGGCCTCGTCGCGCAGCGTGTCGCGAGCGAGGCGCTCGCTGCGCAGCAGCTCCGCCTGCCGCTGCAGCTGCCGGCCCTGCTCGTCGAGGCTGGCGCCGAGGGCCTCGCCTGCCCGCCCGAGCCCGCCCAGCTCGGCCTGGAGGCCGCACCGCAGCGCGGCGTACGCATCGATCTTCTCGTTCAGCTTCCGCTGCGTGTCGTGGACGCGCCTGGGAGGGGCTCGACGCACGCACCACGTCGTTTGGTCGGCCAGGGAGCTCGGTGTATACAGCCAGATCCGCCCACCCTGTCGGCGTGTGCGAGGGGTCTGTCTGTTCGAGTCGTCGTCTCCGTCAGTCGTCTGCGTCGCCCCCTTTCTCTGCACCCTCCCCAATCCTGTCAGCGAAAGGAAAACCTCTCAATGTCGTAATCGAATCGTTAAAAAAGCCCCTTCCCTTTGATCCCTTCCTCGCGCCCGGGGGGGGGCCGGGGGGGGTCCCGGGGGGATCCCGGGGGGGGTCGCCACCCAGGTGCGCTTTCCCCCCCGCGCGATTCCGAAACCCTCGCGCGGTCGCCGCGCAGTCCCGGAACCCCCGCGCGGTCTCAGAAGCCCAAAGAAGTCCCCAGGAATTCTCCACGAGACCTCCAAGAAGCCCCCGGACTTCCAAGACTCTTCCACTGGGTGCCCAGGGAGGCCGCAAGAGGCCTCCACAGGCACTCCCGGGAGGGCCCCAAGAGGCACAAATCATTGATTGTCCTTCAGATGTTGAAAGATTTGGGCGTTCTCGCCTGTTCTGCTTTCCGCCGCTCCAAGACAGCAGAAGAGGCCCTCAATATCGCCTCAAGACGGCGCAAGAGGCTTCCATGAGCGCCCCCAAACATCCCAAGAGAACCCCAAGACAGCCCCAAACGCCTCCAAGACGGTCCAACATGCCCCCAAGAAGGCTCCACGAGCGTGCCTTGACAGGAAACCCGAATGGACATTTCGAGCCCTCGGCCCCAAGAAACTCCCAGGAGGCCCCAAGCGGTTCCCAAGAGACCCCACGAAGCGTCCAAGAGGCCCCCAAAGCACCCGAAAAGGCCCCCAAGAGGCCCCCAAGAAACTACCAAGAGATCCCAAAATTCTTCCCCAGAAGTTCCCAAGAGGCTACCAAGAGTTCCCAAGGGACTCGGGCCCACGTCAGCGTCGTCGTCGTCGTCGTCGCCGCCACCGCCGCTGTCGTCGTCGACGTCCCCCTTCAAGGTCGGCGGCACCGGCCGTAAGGCCTTCGCAAACGTGTTACCTGAAGGAACGCTGACGAAGGAACGAATGGGCTCTCGGCGAGCCTCGGCTTCGAATATATTCCCAGACCTAGACCTCAGAATCGGCCTGAAAATCAGAGCCCCGGCTCGGAAGTGATCCTCATCTCGTCGTCTTGCCTGCAGACACCCCAATTGTCCAACCTGTGGGACGCTGGAGCGTCTTTCGTTACCCGTTGGTCGGAAGAAGTGGGTAGAAACATTGAGTAGGAAGGCGTTGGAAGTAAATTGGGCTTCTGCCCGCTGCCTAAAGAGGAGGGAGGAGGCAACACAGCGACACCACTCGATCATTGAAGTAGGAGGGCGCCCAGAGTAGATTGGGACCTGGGAGTCCAGAAATGCCTTCTTCCAACGGCCGACGTGTACAACGCATCCCTTCGCCCGACTCCTCGGCTCCCTGGCCAACCACACGACGTGCACACGCCGAGCCCCTCCGAGCGCCTCCGACGATCCTCCAGGTCCTTGTAGCGGAGGTCCAGCCCGACCCGCACGGTGCGCAAGTCCGCCAGGCGCTCCGCCCGTGGCCCCAGGTCCGCCAGGCCCGGCTCCGCCGGCCCTTCCTCGGCGCCGACCACCTGCTGGCGGTGGCGCCCCGGCTGCGGAGGCGGCGGATCTCCCATGGCTACCAGCTCGGCGGGGGATGGCAGCGTTCTGGCCACGACCAGGGGGGGCATGCTGCACCCGACGGCGCGCGCGCACCCGTGGGCAAGCGACGACCAGACGACGACGACCACGACCACGACCACGACGACGACGACGACGACGACGACGACGACGACGACGACGACGACGACGACGACGACGACGACGACCACGACCTCCCGCGGAGGGGGAGGAGGACGGTGCGGGACGACGACCACGAGGACGACGACGACGACGACAACGACGACGACCTCCCGCGGAGGGGGTGGTAGGAGGACGGTGCGGGTGGAGGCGGACGGACCTCGGCTATCGCGGCCTCCGGGGGAGCCGGCTCGGGGGGCGGGGGGGCACCCACCTGGGACTGCCGACGGGTCGCCGGCAGATCGGCGACAGGCCCCCCAGTGGCCCGTCCCCACGCTCCTGGGCGGGGTGGGCTATCGGGCCCCTTTCGGAGATGCGTGGGGGCGATTGGGGGTCGTCCTGCCCCCCAATCGCCCCCAACCACTCCGCACGGCGACGTGCGAGGAGGGGCAGGCCTGCAACATGGGCTCGTCGACGGAAACCCTTTACAGGCCTCCCCCTTGCCCCCCTTGTTCCTTTTCGTCCTCAGGGATGTCAGCATCCTGCCCTGAGCCTACCCCCCCCCCCCTAGCGTTGCCCCCGAGGGGGGCGCTCGCCGCGCGGGCGCCTGAGCCCGAGGCTACGGATGCGGCAGGCGCGCACGGCGTGGCGCAGGAGCTCAGCGAGTCGCTCGGGTGCGCCTAGGTTCGGTCATCGGCCGCGTCACCACCTCGCTCTGGGCTTCCGAAGCTCTCGCGCCGACTCCTCGACAACTATGACCACCTTCGAGCGAGGGGAGTTCCGGAGAGGCAAGGATATGGGGGGACTGCTATAGGGGGGGAACATCGACCTGGAATCGGCGATACATCGCCGATAGATCAGCGATATGCCCTCGATAATGAAGCTGCACGTTCCTGGGCGGGGTGGGGCTATCAGACCACTATCGGCGATCAATGGGCGATTGGGGGTCGATGTATCCCCCCCTATGCCTATCCCCCCCGATCGTTGCCCCTGATCCGAGGGAGGCTAAGGTGATTTCACGTCGCGAAGACGTTTGGACTTGGTTTCTGACTCTACGCGAAGCCTTCAACCTCTACAGAGGAGCAAACAACGGCATAACCATAAGCCTTCGGAAGTCCGCGCGGAACTCCCAGCGTTTATGCCTGCGCATTTTTCTCGTCGACCTCCCTCGAACGACCACTGCTTTCCGACACCGGAAATCGTTCCATCCATCCTGGCCGAGCTCCAGGCAGCGGAGGGAGTCCAGCCGGGAACGCCCGCGCAGGCGTCGCGGTGTCGCGTCAGCGCGGCGCGAACGTACCATGCAGACCCTTGGAGTTCGGCGACGCGCCCTGGGGGGAAGACAGAGCGGGCGGGCCCTCTGAAATGGCTCCCTGGAGGCCCCGGGCCTTCTGAGAAGCCTGCGGAGCCTTCTTCGACGCCACGGGGGGCTTCTCGGACGGCCTGAGGGCTTCTGAGACGGCCCGCCACCGTCTGAGACAGCCTGCCCTCTCTTGCTTACCCCCTCGGCGCGCCTCGAGGAAAACCCAAGAAGGGGGAGGGGTCGTGTTGGACCAGTGGTCGTGCAGTCTGGGCGAATCCGCACGCTCCTGGGCGTAGAGGGCTATCGGGCCCCTGTCGGCGGCTGGGGGTCGATGCATCCTCCCCCTAGCCCATCCACTGATGGCCTTCGGGTCATAGAACTCGGGTTTCCAGCGCCCGAGCGGGACGACCCGGGCACAACCAGAGCGCTCTCGGCGAGGCGCAGATGACTGGCAACAACGGCAGACGACCTCGAAACTCGAAGCACCCCTGAGCCCATCCCCCCGAACGCTGCCCCTGACACAGCCTCACGGCGGAGGGGGTGCGGGCCCAACCCGTTGCCGCTCGGAGCCTTGGCGAAGAGCTGCTCCGAGTCCAACCGGAGCGCGCCCGCCAGCGCTTCCCGCTGTGTACGTTCGGCCTGTCTTGGAAGCTCTCTTCAAATGGACCACCGTTGGCTATCTATCGCAACTCGTCGCTTCTGTCCAAATATCCAATCGCCCTCCTCTGTCTGCACGCGAACCCTGACTTCATGGCCAAACATGGTGCTTACCGCTCTGGTGCTTCCCGCTACCATGCCTAGGGGTGAGGGTCCTGACAGTCGGCCGACAATCTCGTGCAACGTGTGTGCTTCCACTCCATGCGCCTTCACCAACTAATCATACTCAGCGTCGCGTGACGCTCAAGCACATGATATCACGATTGATGGCCAAACAAATGAATCGTACATGGTCTCTGAACGTATGGTATACACTGCCAATGTGAACCATCATCCCGATACGGAAAGAGAAGACGTGATGCACGCGGATCATGGCTGGATGCTGGTCGGGACTCCTTCTTGGTACCCATGATGCTCCCGTGTGCATGCTCCTTTCCCGCGAAACGAGCCTGGATCATGGCAGCAAACTCGGTCTTCGCCTGCAGAAAGACAACGATAAGGGAACTCGACGCATGGACGTGTGGAGAGAAGCAGCCGAAACAACACTGCAACGCGAACGAGTCACTCTATGGGCCGCTGCCGCCACCGCTGGCACCACAAAGCGCGGAAGTGAGGGAACAAAATGCCCGAGAAGTACGCAACCCATTTTTCACGCGAAGCGAGTATTTGCATGGAGGCTCCACACACATCACACCAGAGAAAACCCCGATCAGTGGAAGTTGTATGTTTCGCATGTGCCTCAATCGTCCTTCCTCCCGCCCTGGTCTTATACGTTCTAGTCCAGTCTACTCAATCGATGTTCCTCTCTATGTCTATTTCTTATCTTCCTCTCTATACATGCACTCTCTCTGTATATATATGTATCACGCACTTTACCTGTCTGTACACATATACAACACATGCACAAACATGTACACACGTACACGCGTACATACACACGTACATACATACACACATACACATACACATACACATACACATACACATACACATACACATACACATACATACATACATACATACATACATACATGCATGCATGCATACATACATACATACATACATACACACACAAACAAACATACATACATACATACATACATACATACATACATACACATACCGTTTTACTGCACGTGTCCACGTCAATGGTCTAATAGCTCAGTTTTCCCCACAAACTGCGGTTCGCCGCGAACCGCCCGACGCCCCCGCCTCCCGCAGATGCGCCAAGCCAAGAGCAGGACCCCCGCAGCCAAGCGTGGCACTCCACACTGGTTTCACTTTGGGCTTCACGGGCCAGCTTCACGACAAGGATGGGCGCTTCAGGATCCAAGTCCCACTGAACCCGAGTCCGCGGCACCGCAAAAACTGGGAACACACGCTATACCTGATGGGCTACGGCAACTCAGGCAAGCATTGAGCCGGCTAGCCTCTACACGAGATAATTCTGGTGGGTGGTGAGAGGGTCGGGGGCCGAAACAGCTCTGGAGCGGAAGGTAAACGGCGTAGGGGACACACGCACCAAAGGGTCTGACCATACAAATCAGTATACGGACATACCGTTTTACTGCACGTGTCCACGCCAATGGTCAAACAGCTCAGTTTCCCCCACAAACTGCGGTTCGCCGCGAACCGCCCGACGCCCCCGCCCTCCGCAGATGCGCCAAGCCAAGAGCAAGACCCCCGCAGCCAGAGCATCCAAGCGTGGCACTCCACACTGGTTTCACTTTGGGCTTCACGGGCCAGCTTCACGACAAGGGGGCGTTTCAGGACCCAGGCCCCACCGAACCCCAGTCCGCGGCACCGCAAAAACGGGGAAAACACGCTATACCAACTCCACCCCGTCGTGGCTTACTAGCCGTGAGAATTCTGTTCAACTCACCACCCCTCCACCTCGCCACCCCTACACCTCCCTGCCAGAGCGAAGCTCGTGAGTATATGCAGAAAAAAGACAAGTTTTACAATTCAGAGAACGCTCGCAGAAATGCAATCCATGTAAAAGAGCGGCGGCGGCCTGATCCGTGGGCCGCGCGCGCGAAATCTGCCGCCGCACCCTCGACGTAGATGCGGGCCGTCGTGCTGCCGGCTCACCTGCCCTTGGCAAGCGCGGCCTCCATGGAGGCCGACCGCAGGCAAAAATCTGAGGCGCCTCCTCGTCGGGTAGAGAGCCATGAGAAGCGCCCGGGAAGGCCCAGGCAGCGCGCGAGGGCCCCGAGCGCACCTCTGGGCCGGGCGGGCGACCTCCACGACAGGGCTTCGCCTGCGGGTCGCTGCTGCACGACTGGCCTGAGCATTGCCTTGGCAACTGCTGAACGGATGACGACGGCCTCTGCAGCGGCATTGCCCGCTGTCGTCTTAGACGTCCTGATCCGCAGCGCGACTGAGTCACCTCGGTCGAGAACGTCGTCCGTCGTCAACGCAAAGGCCTCGCCACCACGCAGCAGGCCTTCGAAGCTGATGAGCAGCAGGCAGCTCACGTCGAACGCCCCGGCCTCCGCCGCCAGGCCTGCCATGCCCGCGACGATGTCGGGCGTGAACGGCGCCCGCTCTGCAGGCTCCGCTCGACGCCAGGCCTTCCGCAGCGCCCGCGACAGGTCCAGCCTCCGCCGCAGCTTGGACAGCAGGAAGCACACGCCCACGACGGTGTTGTTCGCCAGCGCGATGCCTGCTCCGCTCTGCCAGATCGCCTCCAAACAGCTGGCGACAAGGCTGTCAGCATCCTCTGCCTCGCCGCCCAGGAGACGCACCTCCTGAGGTGCCTCAGCAGGTCCTGCACTGCGCGAGTGTACCTCGATCGAGTCGCAAACCCTACTAGTGGCGCGGCGAGGGTCTGCCGGCGGCTTCTCGCGCCGCTTCAGCACAGCACCCGCGGCCCGCGTGGGGTCACGGCGGGCCGCTCCTCGCCGCGCTTCCTGAGCCGCGAGCCGCGCCACAGCTTGCGCGACGGCTCGTCCGCCGGGTTGTCCTCCGAGACCACGTGGCCGATCAGCGGGTGCACGTCCGCCGCGATCGCCATGGCCATATAGCGCCTCAGCGCTGGCTGCAAGCGGCGGCTGTTGCTCCGACCCTTGGCCACGATGGCCGCCACGACCTGATTGTCGACGAAGTGAAGCCACCGCGTGCAGTGCCGGGCTGACTTCCGCGCTCGCCATCGCATGGCTGCCAGCGCCGCCTGCGCCTCTCTCGCGTTGATGTGCGCGTGCGTCTCGCGCGGCCACGTCGTGCGCAGCGCGACGCGGCACCGCCGCGCGAAGGGGCCCAGGCTCGAGCGAGGCCAGCCTTATGGGGCCCAGGCTCGAGCGGGGCCCAGGGTCGAGCGAAGGGGCCCAGGCTCGAGCGGTGCGGCAGGCCGCAGTCCAGCCGCGCGTCCGAGCCCCCCCTTCTCCGCGCGGCTCAGGTATTGGAGGGCGAGACGCCTGGCCCCCTCGGTGTTCGGGTCGCCCGCGCTGTCCTCGAAGCAGCCGCGCTGGTCCCAGGTCTCGCGGCGCTGGCCGACGCGCGCGATCTCGGGCACGGACAAGGGGGCGCGCCGAAGCGGACTCCGCCAGGAGGACGTGCTGCAACGCCCATGCGACCACATAGACGCTGAGCTGTTCCCAAGCAGGAAGGCCCTGGCGCCCGAGGCGGCCTGCGGCTTCGAGCTCTTCGTGGCTACCGCGGTGTAGCCCTCGTCGAACCCGAGCAATCGTTCTCGCTCCGTGCAGCTTGGCAGCCTCCCTGGCAGCCTCCCAGAACAATCCTGGGCGATATTTTTCCCCTCGTGCCTCGCGACGTGATAGCGGGGCGACTCAGCCTGCCAGCGCGCTCGCGCCTCGCTGGATGCCGGGGCCAGGCCGCGCGGCGCCGACGGGAAGCTCGGGAAGGGCCTGCAGCGCACCAGCGTTGGGAAGGGGGGCGGGCGCCCTGCCCAGCGAACCCCCTGGCCCCACTCGATGTCCAGCAGCGGCCCGTTGTCTGTCATGACCTCGATGTAGTAGCCCCTGTCGGCAGGGCGCAGCGGCGGTGTCACTTGGAGATGCCGGCCGAGCCAGGAGAGCCGCAGCCTGCGACGCGGCACCATGACCGACGAGCAGATGAAGTGCGGCTTAACTCCCATGCAGCTGGACATGGCCTTGACATTCTCGTCTGCCATGTGCCATGTTCTCAAGCAGAGAGTAGAACCGCCGCCCGAACGCCTGCTGCAGGAGCCGGAAGATCCTGGGCACCTCGTAGAACAGAGAGCTCTTGCGGCCATGCAGGCCCCCACCGCGCGCGTTGAGGCGCAAGAGGTCCTGGCGCGGGCTGCCCGCGCCAGCGACGCACGCGTCCGCCGACTCCGAGAACGCGTCAAAGAGGTCCTGCACCAAGTTATCGTCCACCCGCGTCACGTCGCCCCAATCGATCGCGCCTGGCCAGCGCAGCCGGACAACTCGCCTGGCCTTCGCGTCGGTCTCGGCGGTGACATAGGCGACGATCCTGACGGGCAGCCTCGGGGGCGACACCGCGAGGCCGCCGATGCCGTCGAAGAGCCCAACGACTAGGACATTGAGCACCTTCAACGCAACTGCCCTCGGGATCCTCGGGTGAGACACGGTCCAGGGGCACCGCGGATCTACAAGCATGTTTAGCAGCCGAGCGCCCACGCCGAGGTGATCAGCGACCTGACCCACGGATTTGAGGGCCGATGCCGCCTCCCCACGAAGGCTCGTGGACGCGCAGGCCCCGCCCCCGAACTCCGAGGCGTCTGAGACCGTGACCATCCCCTCGTTGCGGGCGCGGAGAGAGGTGACCGCTGTGGGCAGCAACATAAGGCCCAAGAGGAGCTCCTCGACCATCTCGGCATTGCATCGGACCGTCGATCGCGCCGTCGACAGAAACCATGCGGAGTCGAGGAGGCCGAAGAGCGGGCGTCTAAACTCAAAAGCCCGCACCAGCTTGCCGAGGGCCGTCATGCACACCCGCCAGGGCACCCGCTCCTGCGACAAAGTCGCGAGGCAAAGGGCAGCGGAACTCAGCACCTTGGGGCGCGGCGCTGCCGGCCGTCCGCTGACGCCATCCACGTCGGCCCCCATGCGCTCAACCCGCGTTTCCCGCAGGTGGGCCTTCTCCGCCGCGTAGGCCGCGCCAGCGCGCTTGTAGCTCTCCCGAACGCGCTGCTGGCAGTCCGCCTCGGTGTCCACAAACTGCCGCGCCCGCGCCTCGTCCGCGATCTCGGGCGCGTCGAAATCGCCGATGTGCAGCTGCCACCAGCCGGCCTCGCGGCCGCTGCCCAGCTCGACGATCGGGCGTGCTTCGTCCTTCCGCCACTCCAGCTCAGGCGGAAGCCCTGCGCCCCTGGGCGGCGGCTGACGGCGCAGCCTGCGGTGGATGTGCTGGGGGGCGGGGGCCGCCGACGCCCACCCCGCGGCAATCGCCGCGGACGCGATGTGCACCTGCCGCTCGGGGCGCCCGAAGAGCGACAGGGGGGGGCCTGCCGACCGCCGTGTAGGGGTGCCAAGCCTTAAGGATTCTCCAGACGAAGAAGGCCCCCTTCTGGTCGTCACCCGACCACAGCAGCAACTTCCCCTCGGGGGTATGCAGGGGCACCCAATTCGTAGACGCCGCGAGGAGCGACGCCTCGCCGGCATGCGGCTTGAGCAGGGCGTGACCAGGGACCATGTTCAAGATCAGCCTGGCGGCCCGCTCGGCGCCTGGCCCTGGCTTGCTCCTCATTTCCACAGCGAAGAGGCCGTTCAAGAGCGGCTCGTCCCGCGCCCTGGCGAGCTGGTCCTCGCTCAGCACAACGAAAATCCCCAGCTTCACGGCGCGTTGCGAGCTCGCGCCAACCCGCCTCGTCCGCGACGTCGGCCCTGGTTCGAAGCATGGGGTCGGGCCAGTCGGCCTCGGGAAAAAGGGCCTTCTCGGGCGAGGTCGGCCACTCGGCAACGTCGGGCTTCACGAATTCCAGGGCGCCCAGCGCTGCGGTGTGCTCGGGCTGCGGCGAGCCCGGCGCCAGCTCCGCGGGCGCGCAGGGCAACGCCTTGGCCATGGGCTCGCCCGCGCAATCCACGGTCGCCCCACTGAGGGCCACGTCGGCGGCGGGTGCGTTCACCTGCTTTGCCGCCGGCCCCCCAGGAAGTCGACGACGCAGGACTTCAGGAAACCCGTGGCCTGCTGCTGTGGCTGGGGCAAAATCGCACGATGCCTCCAAGCCTCCTTGCAGCGACCACCGTGCGTATAATTCAGCGCCGTGGCGGGGCCTCCTCAGCTACCTGCCGAGCGATAGGCCTGGCTCTGCACTCGTGCCCAGCATCTCTGCTCGCGCACCGGGCCTGGCAGCCGGGGGACTTGGCAGGGGCAGCGGCAACAGGTCACGAACGCGCCTGCCGCCCCCGCTAAGTGTGGACAAGCGCTCTGCAAATTCTCCCGAGAAGTCCCCCAGGCTGCCGGGGTGGCGCTCGGCGAGCTGTGCGAGGTGCACTGCCGTGTCGACGCCCGCGATGGTCGCGCCGAACTGCACCGCGACCTCGGCGCGCCACGCCTCGGCGTCGCGCGCGGCGCAGCCCGCGGCGGGGAGCCCCCGCGCGCCGTCTAGGAGCGAGGTGCTCGCCAGCCCCCGCTGCTGGCCCCCGCTGGGAGGCGCCCCCGCCGCGAAGCGGCTCCTTGGCCCCTCCGCCTCCAGCCGGGGGAAGTCATCGGACGCGAGCAGCGACCCGCTGCTACAAGCCGGGGACCGTGCCGCGTCCTCCTCCTCGGAAGCTGCACCTCCAGCAGCCTCGGCAACGTCTGCCACCGCTTCTGGCCGCGCGACTCCGCCATGAAGATGCGCAGCCGCGCCTTGTACTCCATCGACGTCTCGCCATTCTTCTTCGGGGACGCATCCCTCGCCGCCTTGGAGTTCAGCGGCGCCTGTGAGCCTCCAGCGGGCAGCTTCTTTGCGGTCTTGTCGAGCTGCGCGACGCGCTGGTGAGGCGGCCTCTCGCCCTCCTTCGCGCTGCCCTTCGGCTCCTTCGGGCGGGCGGGCGTGCGATTGCCAGGCGCCCGCGCTGTCGCGGGGGGGGCCCCCCGCCTGGCCTGCAGGAGGAGGCGCCGGCGGCGGGCGCGCCTCCTCCGGGCCCCCACTTCGACCCTGGGGCTTGCGAAGCCGGCTGCTGAGCTCTTCCAGCTTCAGCTCGCCGAGCTCGATGCTGCGGATCATCTCCTCCTCCTCGTTGCGCAGCGTGGTGGGCTCGTCCGTGGCAGGGATCAGCTCGATCCACTTCGCCGCGCCCCAGTGGCCGTCGCCGACTGCCGCCTGCGCCGCCTTCAGCCGCTGGGTCAAGATGTCCAGCGCCTGAGGAACCTTGCCCTGGAGGAGGAAGTCGATCGCCCCGGCCAGCGCCCGCATCTCGCGATGCGCAACCACTCCGATCTGCGGCGCTGGGTTCTGCGGCAGCTAGATCGTGAGCAAGTACCTCAGCACGAGCGCCGTCGTCGGGTCCACCGCCGCGTCGCTCTCGACGGCGCAGAGGAACGCCGCCATCTGCATCGGCGTGGGCTCTGACAACTTGCCGGGCTGGTCCTGCGCCATCTTCCTGCAGTGAGTCCGCTTCGTCGTCAGACCCCCCGCGGCCGCGGCCCCGTGGGGCGCGCTGAAGGGGCCCGCGGCGGCCCCGGCGTCCGAGCTGCCAGCGGCCTGCGCGGCCGAGCTCCCGAGCGCTGCCATGGGCGCCGTCGCCAGCTTCTTCGCGCCCTCTCCTGCAGCACCCCCGCTGGCCGCAGCCGCAGCAGCTGGCCCGCCCGAGCCGCGCGTCGCCTCGGCTGGGCCCTTGGCGACCTTCGCCATGCGCTCTGCGAGCGCCTCGGCGAGGCCCCGCTTCTTCGGCCTGTCCTCGCTCGGCGCGGCCTCCGCCCTGACTGGAGGGGCGCCAGCCGCGGCGGCCCCTGGCGCCGCCGTGGCGAACCAGTCCCTCGCTGCAGCGAGCCTGGCCCGTAGCTCGTCCCGCGCGGGCTCCAGGTCGAGAGGGAGGCCCGCAGCCCTCGCGGCCAGGGCACTGTCCCCGAGCAGCCCGTCGAAAGGAGCGTCGTGACCCTCGGCCGCGTGCTTGGCCGCGCTCGGCCCTGCCGGGACAGGCGTCGGCGGCGCGGCACTCTCCTTCTTCGGGCGCGCCGCCCGACGGGGAGCGGCCAGCCGCGCCGCGCGCGGCCCCGGCAGGTCCGCGGGCCAGACCGCACCGGGGTTGCGGCGCAAGCAGTTCGAGAAGACATCGGGGACGTCCTCTGCCTCCAGCCTGCGGGCGTCCGAGACGTGGATGAGCTCGTCGCATCCCGCGGGTGCCTCCACACCGCGCGGGTCGTCCGCGCAGACGCGCAGCAAAGTGCTGGGGAAGATTGCACCCGCAACGCCTGGAGACCCCGCCCACCAGTTCCAGTACGCGTCGTCGCTGAAGAGGAGCCTCGCGCGCACGAGCTGCTCGGGGGCGGCCATGACCCGCAGCGCACGCCACACGAAACCGCACTGCTGTTGCCCGCCGTCGCCGAAGCCTGTACTCAAGTAGAAAGAGTTCGGTTCGATGGTGATCGGTTCGGCGGGCGACGGCTTCAGCTCCTCCGAGGCCCTTGCCGCCTCCTCGCCGTCCTCGACGACCTCGAACCCCAGGCCGTCGTCCAGCAGCTCGCCGACTGAGGCGACGACGCCGCCTCCATCCGCAGCATCCATCTCCAGGCATGGAGTGCACTCGTGCGCGGATCACCGAGCGCACACGGCGCGCCGTGGCACAGGCCGCGCCGCCAGGCCGCGGGAAGGTGTCGCGCGGATGCCTCAACACACTGCGACCCTCGCCCCGCGGCGGGCGCACACCCGCGACGCATGAGAGGGAAGTCTGGCTCGGAGCCCAAAGCTCTCTGAGCCAAAACAGCACTGGAACGGAGGGTCGACGGCGTAGGGGATACACGAACCAAAGGGTATGACCATACAAGTCAGTATACGGACATACATACGTACAAACATACATACATACGTGCGTACATACACACATCCATGCATACATACATACGTACACCCATGCATAGTTACATACATGCATACATACATACATACATACGTACATACATAAACACATAGGTGTGTGTACATATACACATACGTACATATGTACGCAACCACTCACATACACACCTACCTACTTACCTGCCGACCTACCTACTTACTTACATACATACATCAGATCGCAGCCTCCCAATGAGCTGCGAGGACTCGGCTGGTCCGCGTGGCCTCCGACTCCGCTGGGCCTCCCAGCAGCCCACGAAAGCGGCGACGACTGCGCAATTCGCAGCCTCCCAGGGAGCAGTGAGGTCTAGTCTGGGTCCACTTACTCCTTTCCTCCGCCGTGTTTCCCACGAACTCACGAAAGTGGCCAAGCCCCCAAGGACTGCGATGTCTAGGCTGGGTTCGTTGACTCCCCTACTCCGCCGTGTCTCCCAGGAGCCCACGAAAGTGGCGACAATTACGCAGTTCGCAACCTCCCAGGGAACAACGCAGGAGGAGGCAGGACGGAAGTGGCGACAGTTGCGCAGTTCGCACCCCCCCAGGGAACTGCGAGGTGTAGTCTGAGTCCGTTGACTCTACTCCGCCGTGACTCCCAGGAGGCCACGAAAGTGGCGACGGTTGCGCAGTTCGCAGCCCCCCAAGGAGCAGCGCACGTGAAGGCAGAAGAGGGGGAGGAGAGGAGAGATGGAGTCAACAGTGCTCTATTCAATACGAAAACCCAACACAGGAGGGTTGGGAAACAAGTGCCAATAACAATACTTCCCAGACCTCTCCGAGGTGCGTTCCGACAAGAGCTACGAAACTTTGGCCGTGGCGACGATGGCCTCCCAGGAGGCCCCAACAGGCGAAAACGAGGGAAGGGTAGCTGTATCGGAAGCTTTTCGTCGCCATGGCTCTGTCGCCCATTCCCCGTGCATTTTTCGGTATCGTGCGCGTCTTTGCTCGCAAGATGGCCCAGGATGCTTCTGGATGGTCCTCGCAGAGAGAAAATGCACACGTCCGAGCGATGCCAAGTTCCTCCTCTGAGGAATGAAACTGATGCTGCTGCTGCTGCTGCTGCTGCTGCTGCTGATGATGATGATGATGATGACGATGACAATGATGAGGAGGATCATGATGAGGAGGATCATGATGATGATGAGGAGGATCATGATGATGATGATGATGATGATGATGATGCTGATGCTGATGCTGATGATGATGATGATGATGATGATGATGATGTTTTCTCCAGCGCTGCTGAAATATTATGTATTTCGTCACAAGGCAGAATGTGGGCTCGCCCCAGACTCTCCGAACTGGGTGTGTGGACTCGGCGGTGCGCGCCCTCGAGCCACACAGGCTACGGACCGAAGTGCTGTGGTACAACTGGCATTCAGCTGCAGACCCGATGATGTTGTGACGACCTGGGGAGGAAGCGCCCGCGTGCGAACCCAAGGGGGCATTCCCCGCGGACCAAAGGATCACCTCGAGAGACCCCGGAGAACCGGCTCCTCGAGAGCGCGGCGGCCGCGCCTATCGCGGCGAGCTGCCTCTCCTGGGGGATACCTCAAGGGGGCGTGAATGGGGGGCGAGAAGGGGGGCGGGTAGAAAGGGGCCCTCTTCGGGCTCTAAAGGCACCCTTTCTGGGCCCGAACGGGCCCCTTTAGGTGCCTTAAAGGGCCACTTTTCTTCAGCCCTCGCTGCCCCCTCATTTATCGCCCCCCATGAATTCGCACCCGACAGAATGATGGCCCAGGAGTTCCAGGACGCCTCGGGCTCATTCACGAGCAGACTTACGCATCCTCATACCCACCCCTCATATCCTCGTGCCAGTGTGCGCTCACGCTCATACTCGTCACTCATGCGCTCATCCTTGAAAACGCTAGAGCAATTATCCTGGCGAAGGACCCAACCACATGCAGGTAGAAATATTACGAGGCAGGTGAGATGAAGGAGGGGGGCAACAAAAATACTGTGGCGTGGATGAAAAAGGATCTGCTGATGTGGGTGTGCGGGGGTCTCCTTGGTTTGGCCAGGGCCCCGTGCGCCGCTGTTTCGTGCTCATGTCCTTCCTTGTTTCCTCCCTCTTTCCCCCCTTCCCAACTTTTCCTCTCAGAAATGAGGTGGCGGGGCCATGCGGACCCTGGTAGTTGGGCCTTACCTAAAGTTCTTCGTGGGGCCACGAAGCGTGTAGTGGTGTGCCGAAATGAGGCGGCGGGGCCCTGCGGACCCTGGTATTTTGGCCTTGGTAGGAGCCCCATATGGGGCCACGAAACGTGTGAGGAGTGTGCCGAAACAAGGCGGCGACGCCGTGCGGACCCTAGCATGTGGGCCTTACTTGGAGCTCCCCGTGGGGCCACGAAACGTGTGAGCGGTGTGGCGAAATGGTCGTGCAGAGGGCGAAGGCTGGGGAAGTAGGAGGGAGGAGGGGGGGAGTGAGGAGGAGAGGGGGATGACGCGGGGCACTCTGCTCAAAACGAAGACCAAACACAACAGGACGGTTGGTGTATATAGATATATACACACACACACCTCTACGACCACCCTGCGGGTGATAAGGAGGTTTGGGGGGAGAGGGGGCCAACAATGGGCAACAGTGGTGATTGTTGTTATGACGATGCCTGCGGGGCGGACTTCAATCTCACTATCGATATCACTATCGATATCACAATGAATATCACAATCGATCTCACAACCGGTCCCACAAAAGGACATCATCATCAACATCAACATCACCAACCACAACATCAACATCATCATCAACATCACCGTCATCATCATCATCATCATCATCATCATCATCATAATCATCACCATTACCTCCATCATCATCATCATCACCATCACCATCATCATCATCATCATCATCGGGACACCGGCGGGGCACCGCGGGCCACCAGACGCCCGGGGCACAATCATTTGGTCCGGCCGCGCCTCAGCCACAGGAGACTTTCCTGACACCGGCGGGACACCGCGGGCCACCGGACGCCCGGGGCACAATCATTTGGTCCGGCCGCGCCTCAGCCACAGGAAACTTTCCTTGTGCCCGCCCACGCAGCTTCGCCTCGCCCGCACGCACGGCACGCGCGAACACGAAACCGAAATCGATTTCCCGGTAGGGGGGCTCTCCGTTCCACTTCGATCTCTCCCCCCAACCTCCGATATATATATATATATATATATATATATATATATACACACATATATATATATATAGCACCAGAAACGCTCCTCGACGCCAGGCTGGAGACTGAGAAAGCTCGGGACCCAACGAGACACCCCAAGGACTACAAGCTATGGTGCGAGGTTCACTTTGGGCCCCAATCTTTTTATAGAGACACTGCGGCGATGGCGAAGTCGACGCTGTTCGACCACCGGCAAGAGAAGAGGCCAGCAGGCTGGCGATCTGGACGCTAGCGGCGATGGCGAAGTCGACGCTGTTCGACCACCGGCAAGAGAAGAGGCCAGCAGGCTGGCGATCTGGACGCTAAACCCCCAACTGAGAAACATATACCGAATTAGGGTGGGAGGGTCGGGTCGCTTGAGCCGAACGTTGCGGTTCGGCGTCCCTGCTCTCTTCTTCTTGCTTAAACATTGAAATGTGGGGAGCACCAGAAACGCTCCTCGACGCCAGGCTGGAGACTGAGAAAGCTCGGGACCCAACGAGACACCCCAAGGACTACAAGCTATGGTGCGAGGTTCACTTTGGGCCCCAACCTTTTTATAGAGACACTGCGGCGATGGCGAAGTCGACGCTGTTCGACCACCGGCAAGAGAAGAGGCCAGCAGGCTGGCGATCTGGACGCTAAACCCGTCCCCAATCTCCCGAGTGGTGAAATGGCCGTCAGGCCGCCAACTCCCACGCCTTTCCGAACGACTTGGAGGACTCCAGGTTCTGGGCAACCTCAAGCAAGTGCTGGGCCACAGCAGCAGCCATCTTCTTGGGGCACGCGGCCGCGAGGGCCGTGCGCTTTGCAGGGGCCCCGGGATCTCGACCTACAAGGATCGCATGCGGGCGCTCGGCGTGCCCGCAAATTCCTCGGCGGCCACCGCAAGCCCGACAAAGATCATCACAGAGACCAGCGCCCCACAGCGCCACGGTAGTAGCCTTCTTCCAAGAGGAACCAAAAGCGCATTGGTCGAAATGGTGGATCCGACAGTCCTCGGCATTGAGGAGAGAGGCAAGGGGCGGCGCGAGCCGCAGGATTGAGGAGCGAGGACTCTCCAAGCCAACAGGAATGCCATGCTTACGACAAAGGTGAATGATGGCAACCGTGAAGGTCAGAGACGCGTTGCCGATGTCAACCATGCGCTGGTGGCGCTCTGACAGGTCAAGCGCGCCCATGGGCTCACGAGAGGTGCGAAGACCAATCCGAACGGCGCCAGGACGTGCAAGGCGTACCCAAAAACACACCATACAGCGCATTCGAGGCAATCCAACCTTTGACGACTCTGAGAAAGGCTGGCCGTAAATGATCCTCTACGGCACCGTGAGCCCAGTCCAGGGAAAGGGCGGCGCCGCCTCGCCGCCTGAAAGCCTGAGCCAGAGAGCCTGACCCACCGAAGCGCTCTAAGAAGCAGCGGTGAGGCCGGATGCGCTTTTGCCGGCCTGGCCGCTGGATCTCGGCAGCAAAGCGGCGGTGCAGGTGCCGAGCGACGTCGCCGTCGGAGGCGGTCAACGGCGCGGC